GGTGAAGATCACTGAAGCAGCTCTTTTATCTTCCTGCCAAGAAGAATGTGGATTCCGTTCTAGAGGACCCTACAGAATCTAAGCAGATCTGGAGGAAACACGGGTGCTAAGGAGCTCGCTGTTGAGGAAGTTGGGGCAAGGATAGAGGGATACTTCACTGCAGGCCTGGGCGCTAAGCCTCTCAGATTTGAGCAGCCACAGTGCTCTGAGAGCTCCCCCCATGGCCCGGGGCACGAAGCGCCTCATCTTCCGACACTATACACCCTGGATGAGAAGCTCTTCCTGCTTTCCTCAAGTGGCCGGCAAAAGAGTTCGGCAGCTCCATTTAGAACCGGGATCGCAAAGTGCCCACCAGTACTGTCGCCCCACCTGTGTCTGATCTCTGTCAGCACATTGTTCCTACCCTTCTCTTGTACGGACAGTGTACTTTGAAGATGTTAGTGTATAGCAGAGTTGGTGTTTGTTTTGTTTGATTTTAAACGGAAAACAAAAGGGGTCACAGCTCCTTTTTTCCTTTTTCTCTTCATTTCAAGCATGTATTCAATGATGGGCAACAAAGAGACACAGTGTAGAGTTTTATTGCCTAGTTGCCCATCATTGAATACACGCTGAATTCCTACTTGTTGTTGGTGGAGGGGGGAGGAAAACAAAAACAAAAAAAACGAAGGAAATGCTTTGTTATACAATAATTACTTCGGCAAAACAGAAATACAAAAGAAAAAGAGACAAACAGAAGTCTTTTCAGATGTTGCTTCTAATTTGCTACAACAAATCGGTTCCAGGGACAAATTGATTTTAAAAATACCCTTCTGGGGCCAGGGATTTAGCTCAGTGGTTCCACTGCCTGCCCTGTAAGCACAAGGCCCTCAGTTTGATCCCCGGTACAAAAAAATCCTTCCTTAAAGCATAGACACTGTTGAAAGCTTGGCAAAGTCTGTCTGGAAAGTGAAAGGGCTGTCCAAACCCAGGCCCCCCACGCAGCCCGGGGTGACTTTGGCAAAGCATTTGCCTGTCTAGGTCTCCATGCTGGCCACCCAGCTTCGGCAACCCAGGTCTGCTGTCTAATTGGGTCAAAGAGTGAAACTTAGCCTGGATCCTCACAGGTCATGTAAACATTATTTTTCATTTCTTTTTTTTTTGGTACTGGGGTTTGAACTTGGGATCTTGTGCTGGCAAAGCAGGTGGCGGAACCACTGAGCTAAATCCTCAGCCCTGTTTTTTATTTCTTTACTGGCACAGATACATGATGCACAGTCATGCAGTCCTTGAACTCACTATGTAGCCCAGGCTACCCTCGAACTCACAGCCTCACAAGTGCTGGGTTACAGGTGTGTGCCACCATGCCCAGTTCTCACTAGTTTAAAATCAGGCTTGAGTTGGCTGTGGTGGGTGGCCTGTGCCTGTCGTCCCGGCTTCCAGGAAGGCTGAGTGTAGTAGAATCGTCTCCTGACCCCTCCCCAAAGTGGTTCCATCTTGTCATGGGCCCCATTAGCTGTCCAGTGGCCTCTGCCAGACGGCAGCACAGCACAGTCACCCACCCTGTGGCTGGACAGCACTCACCGAGCCCACAGGGTCCCCATAAGGATGGTTGGGAGGGTTGTGCACTCTTCCTTCTGTCCCAGCTTTGGCCATTTTCATCAGAGCCCGGTAAAGCCAGCAGCCAAGGGTTGGCGACTTCAGTGCTGCTGCCCTGGAAGTCAGCCTCCTGCTGTAAGTGCCCCCCGTGCCGTCCTTGCCAAGCTTCACTGGTGCCTGGTATTGTTCTTCAGGCCCTGGGTATTCTCTCCATTCTGAAGCAGATGCTTCTTTATCTCTCTGTGGAAATTCACACAGCACTGAGGCAGAAGTCACTCTACCCATGAGCTTGACCAGCTTGGGCAGCATGATGAGTCCTTGTCTCCTAAAAATACATAAATAAAATAAAATAAACCAGGAGTGCCCTAGACAGAAAGGAACAGCAGAACAGGTGTCACAGGATGATCTATTTTTATCCAGCAAATGTCTGTTGAGTACTTGCTCTGAGCCAGGGCCTGTTAGACCTCAGGCAAAAGCCAGGCAGGATTCGCATAGTGTACCTGAGCAGCTCACTAAGTTTTCTCCAAGACTCTTGCAGTGGGTCTGTCTTTCTCTCTCTTCCCCCTCCCTTTTTCTTTTCTTTCTACTGCAGACTAACCCCAGGGCCTGTGTACCCAGCTACATCCTCAACCCTTTTATTATTGTTTACTTTTGAGGCAGAGTTTTACTAAATGGCTAAGTGCCCAGATTGAGCTCATATGTAGGATCCTCCTGACTCAGCCTCCCAGAAGAGATCACAGGTGTGTCACCACACCCAGCTTATTTCAATTATTTTTGAATCTTGAACCATGTAAGTGTATGGTCTACTTACAATGCAAACTGACAGCATGTAGAGAGCTGTGTTGCCTGGTGGTCGAGCCCTTGCCCGGAATGCTTCAGACCCCTGGGTGCTGTCCCCAGCCCCACACACACCAATATTATTTAGAGAGGATATAATAACCTAAATGGAAACCAACAGACAATGGAAACAGAGTTTTTGTACATAGAGAGTGGTTTTGCAGGGGGGAGGGGATAAAATAAAATTTATTTATTAACAAAAGAGAAAGAAAACCAACATGGCACAGAGGGTTGAGAGGAAGAGAAGGCAGGAGCATAGCATGGGGAAGACAGTAGAGACTAAAGATTTCCCGTGGAGGGGGACTGCATAAGGAGTCAGAAATCTGGACTCATCTTTACCTGTTCATTGTTTTTGTTTTGGGACAGGGCCTCACGACGTAGTCCTGGCTGGCTTCAAACTCACAGAGATCATCCTGTGTCAGCTTCCCAAGGCAGTGTAGTGCTGGCATTGCTGGATGTGGGACACCACACCCCACTGGCCTCATCCTGTGAATGGTCAGTGTTTGGGAGACTTGGCCTCCTCCTTGGCTGGAGAGGGAGGCTGGGGCAGCAAGAGGTGAGGAAGGATGGGGAGAGGAGGGTGGGTGTGTGGTGGGTGACAGGGTGTCGCAAGGGGCGCTGACTGGGCTTTCCTTTGGCTTTGCTTTGGCTGAGTTGGGCGCTGGGTGTCCCAGGTCTGTGTGAGACTGCAAGGCTGGCTTGTAAGTGTTAAGGGCTCATCTGTGTGGGAAAAGCTTCCCACCAGAGGAGTGGTGTGCTGTCCATTCCCACTCCCTTGGATTGTTTTGCTACAGTTACTCTTTGACCTGTAGGAGCTCTTTTATATATTAAAAAAGTTGGACTTAGTGTCATCTTTTCCACTTCTAGTATTTTGAGACTTTTCTATTATCAAAAGACAAAATCAGGACAAATTTAGTTTCGGATCTGATTGGCTTTTACTCAAGATTCATGAACTGGTACAGCCTTAGTCTGTGGAGAAGAGGAGCAGGGTAGAGCTGTGGCTTCCTGAAGTGGGAAAAGGGAAACCGAGCAATAGAAAGAGGCTGACTGGATAACATCAGGTTGTTTAGGGTACTTTTCTTGTCAGCATTAACCCAGAGGGAATGTCCTTATTACACGGATTCAAGTGGACTGGAATCCACTGTTTTAGGGAACACTGGTCTGTTTTGGGGTCTTCCTTAGTGTTTCACTTTGGTTCTGTGGCATTTAGCATGGATGGGCTCCACTTTGGTTTGATCTGGTCCACTGGGGCCTGGTGCAGGAGCCCAGCCCCAAGCAATAGCCTCCCAGGTAACGCTGGTATTATTATTGGTATGTTTAAATCAGAATTTTGCTGTATACTCCAGACTGGCGTTGGTCTTGCTTTGTAACCCAGTCTGGCCTCATACTCCTGCCTCAGCCTTCTGAGTGGTATTTATTTAAACTACAAAAACATTTAAATTTCTTTTTGGCATACTTCAAGTCTTTTCCTGAATGGTTTCTTCATCTTACTAGATAATATCCAGGGTCCATGTTAAGTGTGGAGAAAGAGAATTTATATCTACTTTGTTGGTAGACCACCACTGGAGAGCAAATCACATACATTTATGTGTATTCAAAAGCATTCTTTTTTTTTCTTTTCTTTTTTAATTTACTGTGTAGCCCATGCTGTTTTTTTTTTTTTTTTTTTTTTTGGTACTAGGGATCAAACTCTGAGTCCTTGCACTTGCAAGGCAGGCAGCAGAACCACTGAGCTAAACCCTGGCCCCGGCCTTGAACTTTTGGCAATTCTGCTTCAGCCTCCAGAGTGAAGGGACAACAGAAGCTCAAAATATTCATGAGAACATTTTTTGAAGTCTTGTTTGTAATATTAAAAAAATTCAAGAAGCATCTTTATGGAATTACTTAAAAGATGATACCATGGTGCTGGGTGTGGTGGCACAAGCCTGTAATCCCAGCACTCAGGAGGCTGAGGCAGGAGGATCGCTATGAGTTCGAGACCAGCCTGGGATACATAGTGAGTTCCAGGTCAGTCTCAACTACATAGTGAGACCCTGTCTCAAAAAACCAAAAACAAACAAAAAATACCATGGGACTGGGGATGTGGCTCAATGGTAAAGCTCTTGCCTTGCATGCACAAGGCCCTGGGTTCAATCCACAGCACCACATAAACAAAAACAAAAACAATGTAATATTATGGGGTCATTGAAAAGTATAGAGCAAATCTGTGTGTGCTAATATTAAAAGACAACTATGAGGGCTGGGGATTTAGCTCAGTGGTGCTGCCACCTGCATTGCAAGTGCAAGATCCCAAGTTCAATCTCCAGTACCCCCCCAAAAGAAAGACAACTATGATAATATTATGTGAAAAAAGCAAACTGTAGAAGAATATTTATGCTCTTCAAGTACAGACAAATTAGTGCAAATACACAGAAATTCTGAAATGATGCCAGCCTACTATTTCCAGTTAACTTTTATTTTTCTTTTTAATTTTTTGAGGCAGGGTTTCCCTCTGTAGTTTCACTATGTAGTCCAGGATTGCCTCAAACTCATGTTGATCCTCCTGCCTCAGCCTCCTGAGTGCTGGAATTATATAGCATGTGCCACCACTCCCAGCTCTCCAGTTAAGTTTTCTGAGGGCAAATGAGAAGAAGGAAAAAATTGAAAGGATTATTTCAAATTTCACACATTTCTTTTCTTCTCCTTTCCTTTCTTCCTTTCTTCTACTCCTCCTCCTTCTCCTTCTACAGTAAACATATTTAATGTTTTCACCCTCAAAAAAGAAAGAAAAGAGTAATACCTCATGTCACCAAGTTGTAAGGAAACCAAATTAATGACCGTTACTTCCTTTCCTGATGGACTCTGAAGGCCCAGACCCTGGTCTGGCTCTGTCATCGCATTTGTACGAACAGCAGTTCTCTTATTTATTCATTCATATATTCAACTTTACACTAGAGAGTAAGTCTCAAGAAGCCAAGAACCTTGTCGACACTCTTCTTTATATCCCAATGTCTTCTACAGTGCCTGGGACAGCATAAATGTTTCCTGATGGAAAAAGAAAAGTTAAAACTTTAGTGGGGAATCACCACATAGCAGACTGGTAAGGCTCAACTGCAGGATGAGGCAAGGAACAGTTGCCAAGTAGTGTGACGGCTCAAGAGCCAGTACAAGCTCAAGACTATTGTCCGGGCTTAGGCTCCAAATTCGCAGTACAGAGTTGTGAAAGCGAAGCTCATCGCCTACCCTTGAAGGCCGGAAATTGTATTTAGAATTAAAGCGGTGAAAGGTTGCTTAGCAACAAGGCAGAAGACGCCGGCTGAGCGGTGCACGCGCCCAAGAGCAGGGGATTTGCGCACGCGCGGCCGGCGGCCGCCTAGGTGCTGCTGGGCTGACGGTTGTTAGGGTGACGGGACTACACTAGGGCGGCGGGCTCCTAACGCTCCTTAGTGAGGGGCGACCGCTGAGGTCCTAGCGGAGGACCCGCCTCGGGGGAGTGAGGAGTAGGGCGGCACCTTCCCGCCCTTTCTTTCCAGTCCAGGGTCAATTTGGGGTTATCGCCGGTGCCCGTTCCAGGATGAAGAGTGAGTGGGCCCTGGAGGTGTGGGGGTCCGTGGGGCCTCCCAAACGGCCGGGGACTGGGGACTAGGCCGGGGACGGGGCCCGGGACGGGGGACAGGGACGGGGACGGGGACCTGGGGACGAGGACGGGGGACGG